CAGAGATAATTACTAAATAGCTAGTTTTTAGGGTGTGTGTGTGTGTGTGTGTGTGTGTGTGTGTGTGTGTGTGTGTGTGTGTGTGTAATATAGTTCCTTCTCCATATCCACTGCTGCTACTGTCAGGGATTCAACCAACTGTTAATAAAAAATAATGCGGAAGAATTGCACATGTACTGAACATCTGCTGTCTTCTGAACACTAGAGTGTAACACTTAGGCCTATAGCACTTTCATTGGATTAGACATTGTGCTTAGTCTTAGTCTAGAGAGGCTCTAAACTATGTGGGGATATTCACGGCAGTATATAAGCAAATGCTCCACCAATTTATACAAAGGTCTGAGTGTCTACAGATGTCAATGTCTCTGAGGGGGTCACAGAATCAATCCTTTGTGGATATTGAGCAAATACAGGGTCTTCTCTGTATTATAAGCATGTTTCAGACTCTTCTTGTGATCTGATTTTCACATAAAACATGCCTGTCATGTTAATCCTCCTTGGCCCACATGATGTTAGCACAGCTGGGATAAATAGTTCCATGCATCCTTGATGGCATTCCACAGGATATTCCAGCTGTGTTGCCTCCCCACTCTCCTTTTTCCAGAGCTGTGGAGATCAGTTAGGCTCAGGAAGGTACAAGCTGGAAACATGGAGAAGTTAACACTGCAGCATTCAGCCAATAGGGGATGGAGGGGTGGGCACATCGCAGGCATCCCTGCTCTGAGTTGGGACTGTTACAGGATGCCTGTGAGGGAGAATTGCAGGGGCTTCCCAGGGGGAGAAGGATGGTGCTACCTGCAACAGGAATCAGTTCACTTCTGCAAGCTGCATCACATTTCCTCCTCATCTATCTTGCTTTCTCCTCAACAGTCTGTATCCAGTCCTTCATCCCAGCATCTGCTTTCAAAGGAGGCCCGGCTCAGAACATTTCAACCTCATATTAGTAATAATTATATTTATTCCAATCTTTCATTATTAGAAAAAGAGCTGTAATAGATGTACCAAACGCCTTTACAAAAAGGCCTGATGTTTTGTGTGTGGTTTTTTTTATATAATAAATGCTGGGTCAAGGGCATGCACATTTTTAAAGGATCTTGATATATGTTAATTTGCAGAGTGTTGGTTTCTCTTTGCACTCATGACCCCTTGATATTAAGCTTGTTAAATATGTGCCAGGCATTGCAATGAAATAAAGTCTGTCCAGTTGTGTTCTATAACTTTTAATATTAACGCATAAACATGTCTTACTTAAATGTTGCCTATCTGTATCTTTACTCCATTTTTTCATTGTATGTTTAAGTCTCTTAGTCAATGTATAATTCCTTTACATATTAGAGCTATCAGTCCTTTGTTACGTGTTATAAGTTATTCTGAAATTGTCTTTTGACTAATTTATGCTTCTTAATAGCCACTCATGTTGGCGTCGTTCCCAAATTCTTTATTAGCCTGCACATCTGCCGTCCCTTGTGTTGACATTGCCACCGTTTTTCTCCTCTCTAGAAATCCTTCATATTCTTTCTCCTTT